TTAACATTATAATAACTAGTTATGTATGTTGTGAAAAAACATTTCTTTTTGTATGATGTTTTTATCCCATTTATCCATTACATATGCATTATTAAATCTACAATTCTACTAATGTTAATGGCTTCTCTTTTTTCTTCCCCCAAGATTCCCTGGATGGCCCAAAGAGACTGGAGGTGCTTTAGCAGCCATGGGTGCTCACTTAGACTTATCAGCTTTCTCTTCTTCTGAGGAATTGATGTCACTGGGATTGGATCGCCTCAAATCAGCTCTCATGGCCTTGGGCTTAAAGTGTGGAGGAACACTGGAGGAGAGAGCACAACGGCTTTTCATGACGAAGGGCAAATCAGTGGAGGAGCTGGACCCCTCCCTCTTTGCCAAATCCAAGCCAGGAAAGGTAACCAAAGGCAAGGAGACCGAGAAGATCAAAGAGCTTGCTGCTTTGGAAGCTCAGGTCTACCGACTGACAGAAATTCTCTCAGAACAGAGAAATGCAACTAAAGAAAATGTACAAAGAAAACAGGCCAGACGGGATGGTGAAGAAGAGGAGGAGGAAGAGGCATCAGCCTCGGAATCTGAGGATGAAGCTGATGATGAGGTACCTTACAATCCAAAGAACCTTCCTCTTGGCTGGGATGGAAAGCCCATTCCATATTGGCTCTATAAACTTCATGGCCTCAACATCAGTTACAACTGTGAGATCTGTGGAAACTTCACATACAAGGGTCCAAAGGCATTTCAGAGACACTTTGCTGAGTGGAGGCATGCTCATGGCATGAGATGTTTGGGTATCCCAAACACAGCTCATTTTGCTAATGTTACTCAGATTGAAGATGCCCTCAAGCTTTGGGAGAAATTGAAAGTCCAAAAGACATCAGAGAGATGGCAGTCTGAACAGGAAGAAGAATATGAAGATTCACAAGGAAATGTTGTGAATCGGAAAACCTTTGATGATCTCAAGAGACAAGGTTTACTTTAGGAGGCAATTCCATAAGGATTTAAATATTAGCGTGGGCAACTTTTTTTTTATGGATTGAAAATACCATGATTATAGGAATTAGTCACTCATGAAGAATAGGTAATAAAAATTATCATATAATCTGCATGAAAATGCTGTTTATAAATGTGCATAGTATGTAATACATATGCTCTGCATATTCTTGGATAGTACAAGAAATTAAGAACTAAAATTAAGGATGTGTTAATGTAAATGATGAATTTTATGATGATTTTTATATCAATACAGCGATATTCCTTCAGTATATTCAGATCCTTATTTTTTTATTTTAACCCCTTAATACAGTGTGCCACTTTATAGCTTGTCACACTACAGTCTGGTAGGTGAAGCCTTGAAACGTTTGAAATAGTTCGTTGGTCAGTGAAACTATGAAGAATGTAGTAAATTCACACTTATAATTAGAGATAAATATTTATGAATGTAAATTCCTCAACCTAGTAATATAGTTTAAATGTATTATAATTTCTGGAATGAAATTAGTAACATTTGCTTTAAAGAAAATCATAGTTGATTATGATCGTTTATAAAGTGATTTGGGACATTCAGTGTAATCACATATATACAGGTGTTCTCAATCAGCAAGATTACTACGATCTCAAAATGCTGTATTGCCAGTTGTACATACTCGTGAATATATGAGACGATTTTCTTTACTCTGTATACATTTAGCATTTGCCCTTTCTTGGATTTTTCAAAACTATTTGAACTGCTTCGTTTTACATATTGCAGAGCAAATTGATGGAATATCCCCCCTCCAAACCATGCCGTTGATGTCGTGGGAAGGTGGGGGGGCTGTTGATACAGAGACCAAGGGCCCTATCACACTAGCACTGTCTCTTTCTGAATTTGAGGCTTTCCGCAATTATCGAATGCAAACTGAAAGCCTCCTATACAAAGATGGTTGCAACCGTTTCCGTTTGTGCAATGGAGGATCTATACAGCTATGATTATTGTTGATAAATTAGACAGAATGAGTTAATGTAAACAGAAGTTCATACTGTTGTATTTCTATAAGCAATATCAATCATTATTTCCTTTAAAATAACGTTATATATATGAGAATTCTTTTGTGATTCCCGGGACCTCAGTCGGATGTTTGTTTATAGTAGCCGAAAAAGTGCAAGCGTGATGGGCCCTATGCTATGGATCACCCTAGCCTTGGGCCTAAGCCCTTGCCTCAACTAATTTTGCTTGGTCTATTCTCCCCCTTTCCTTTTCCTTCTCTTTTCCAACCTCTTCGACTATCCACTTCCAAATGTATGAGAGCCATGTTGAATTGACGAAAGCTGCTAATCATGAACGGCTATGGGGAACCCTGTGTATGGTATTCGTACTAATTATAGGCAAATTTCATCTGTTTTTGAACGTTTGCCGTTGAAAAGTCGTATTGTATATTTGAGACCATTTCTCCTTATCTCAATACTTGTACTGGAACTGTTCCCATCTCCCTGTTCATTCATTTCTCGTCTGGCACTCTGTCACATGTTGGTACTTCAAAGAAAATCCAGGTTCTAATTGTAGGCTGATGGAGTTGTGTGTCCACTCTGTGACATGATGTCATAGGGTGTAAATATTTTCCGTGTGTGATCATGCTTACACACAAATGAGTCAAGAAGGCTTGGGTAAATAATATGAAACAGAAAGGGCAATTGTATATAAACGTTAGTACTGAGATACATGTAGATAATACGTAACACTTTACATGAGGCATAGTATTGCGCACACTCGTGGTCTGTCTGTCTGTTTACATATCCACAACGAACAAGGGGCCACATGATCATCCTTTGGAGAGGACACTGGGCGAAGATACCGACAGTTATACCACTAACCTCTATCACTAGGGGGACATAGTTGGTAGTCCCTGGATTTGCCGCAACCTCTAACTGTCCCAACCTTTCACCAACAATGTAATATTGGGTTTTGAATTCTGACAAGCTGTCCATCACTCAACCCAGAAAAGGGACTGATATGTTCATTGTACTTGCGCTCGACTTGCTCAGCACAGGTGCACAGGGACAGATTAACAGAGCAGTTGGCCATACAACACTTTTGCAGGAGAACTTCTGGATGGTCCAGGGGTGTTACGAAGTTCAAGGAAACCCCTGTCAAACTTCTCACACTGCTGAGGGCACTGTCTTGAGAATCAGGTGCTTGCCTGCCTTGACAGCTGCCTCGGCATGGTCATTTTACTGTGGCTAATGTGGCGATGTCGCCACATGGCGGACACCCCAGCGCTCTGTGAAGTTCCGGAAGTCAACACTGGTGAATAAAGATCAGGCATCAGTTTAGAGGCGGAGAGGAATGCAAACGTCCTGGAAGTACTTGCAGAACATCTGGCAAACGTTGTTTCCAAACCACAGGGCACAATGACAGACCAACCTGAGAGACTATCTCCTATTACCAGGAATGACTTCCCTTGACCTGGAAGAAGTCTTTGGACATGGACTCGAAGGGCCTCTTAGGGTGGTCAGCTGTTATGAGGGGTCCCTGTTGTTGGCTGGGTTGCAGTATCTGGCATGACTCACGGGTGTATTCTCTAAGTCTTGGGTCTGTACTCGGCCAGAAGAGTCTACATAGGCCGGCTTTGTCATTTCTACACTACAGTGAATGTTATGGAGGCAGGCTTATGAAGACATAAGGTGGCAGGAATCACAATTTGTTGACCGTACAGGACCAGCTCCCTGACTGAACAAAGACTGTCCCGTAGCTTCTAGTAGGGGAGGATGGAGTGGTGTAGGTCATAACTGGATGGGAACCCAGAGGACAAAGACAAGTAAACATCCTTAAGCATGGTCTGCACTTGCCATATCTCGGAGCTCCTGAAGGGAAGGGTCCTTTCAGAATCATAATTTGATGACTCGTCCTCTGTGATGGCATTACAGGTATTAACTTGTCATACAAATGCAGAAGCCTTTCATCCTTTGGTGCAGGGTGGCTAACTGGGGCTCTGAAGAGGGCATTGGGAATACAGAGCTGTCATTGCATAGTGCATAATCATGCAATCTCGCAGACCACGTGTGTTCATACCGCGTGGTCCACCACGTGTGTACCCAAGCTTGGTCACCTGCACCCAAACATAACCCAAGCAAGCCTCGGGCAGCCGGCGGGGCCAGGGGTACTTAAGTTGACCTCGCCTGACCCAAACTCTCATTCGCTCACACACCCTCGGTGACACGGCTCCTGAGCTGACCTCATACCCGGCCTGCCTCTGGCGGGTCGGCCTACCTGCCAGCATTTCGTAGTGTTCTTATCGTATGTTCTTCAATAAAAGTGTGCAGTCACATCAGTGTATCACTACCGCCACCAGTAAATCAATCATTCATTTAGAAGGATTTATCACCCCATACAGCTACTGCTCATTAGGCCAAACAGCTGTAAAGATTTCAGGGTAATATCTTGAACTGTTGGTAGGAGGGGATTCTCAACCGCATCCAAGTTGTTAAGGGGACCATCTGTTTTTTTTTTTTTTTTTTTCGATTTTTCGATTTTTCTTGCCGATTTTTTAAAGTTAAGGACGGAGTTGAGAGGAAGATGATCCGTCATCAAGGTGAAAATTTGGTAGACCAGACAAGTTTTGTCAACACTTCAACATGGTCCAGGTGGCAACTAACATCTCTTGTTCAATAGTGGCATAACGTGTCTCAGCATCTGTTAAGAAGCGTGAGCCACACTGAACCAGATGCATCTGTCCCTGGTTGTGATGATTCCCTGTTGTACCATAGATTCTAGTTCCTCCTTGTCTCATATGCAAAGGGGATTGGCCTGGGTGTGTATGGCGAAAGGTACAGCTTTGTCCCTTAGATCCACATTGAGTAACCCATCGTCGACTCAAGTGGAGCTATTTTCAGGTCTGCCCTTGACATCTTTGAACTGTCAAGAAAATATTCCTGTGCTGCAGATAGGGACTTCATAACTGGAAGTGGTAGCTCAGCACACCTATTAAAGTGTGTAACATCTTGGATCAGCTTAGGGGAGCCAGGCAAAATTATGGCCAACGCTTGGCAATGGGCATAAGAAAACACAGGTATCTGAACACCTTCATGTACATGTATGCTGAGGGAGGGAGGGAAGCAGAACCCACATGTCGACAGTTGCTACTTGTTCTTTACGAAAGAAAGGAAGCTCTACCATAGCTGTTCAATCCCTTGTCTTTCTTGAATGTCCTGCAACATTGAAATGCCCTGTTTTGTTGCATGTGGGACATAGAATATTCTTCTCTGAGCACTTCGGGGTCTCGGTCCAATGACCCTTGTGGCAACAGTTGTGACAGTTACCATCAGCAGCAGGGCACTTTGTGGGATCATGCTGTCGGTGACAAGACTGGCAGGAGGTATGTAAGGCCTGAGTCTGCTGGAAAGAGGCCGTTTTCTCGCCGTTGATTGCACTTGTATGCAGAGACAACATGGCTCACTCGGTGATGCATAGATGGTGGAAGCTGTCAAACTAGCAGCTTCGTATGATCTGCAACATGTCAGGAAGGCTTGTTAAGTATCTGCATCCAAGAAGATGAGGCGTTGCACCAGCTCTTCATATTTATCTTCAATGGTGTCTCGGCATATGTAACAGGATCTGCAAGGTTCTGAAGCCGTATGTAGAATCCACCAAGAGTCTCTCCGTCACTTTGCTTACGACAGAGCAGATGCCTTTGGTAGAGAGCCTTGTTGCATAGACCCTTGAAGTATGACTAAACTGTTGAGTACCTTGCCAGCAATGAGGTGCATTTCAGGAGGGAAATAAGGGTAATATCTTGCACGTTGAGTGAGACATCCGCAAATGGAAAAGCTGCTGCTAGTGGGAAATTTCCAGATTAATCATCGTCAAGAAGTCTTGCCATTTGCGATGGTATTTTCGAAACATTTGAAATGATACATCAGCTTGCAAAGTAGGAGGACTTGGTGTGAGCGTAAGAGTTGTAAAAGGGGCAGCTGCAGGCATAGAAGTCACAGTGGTTGGAACAACAGGTGCATGAGGAGTATCCACGTTGACAGATTAGGCACTCACAGGAACACTTGTAGGAACAGCCAGGTTGACTGGAGAGAGGAATGCTTGTTGGAGCTGCAGGAATTGACGCTACCGGTTCTGAAATGTGTTCAATGATGAGTCAAGTGAAGAGACATCTGAATCTAAACCATGAATTTATTGTTGTCCTTTTTCTGTGCTGCTTGTCCCGTAGACATGATTCTTCAATAAACATCAATGTAAGGATATCACTGTTGCCAATGTTTGGAATTGTCATATGAGGAGTTAATGACAGGGAGGGTGAAAAAGACTGCTCATGTTCCTCATATTTGCTCGTCAAGTAATTTTCATTACCTCCCCCAACATGCTGGATCTCTTTTGAAGTGAATGTGTACGTGCTAGGAGGGGGCGGATCCATGAGGCAGAGGTGGTGGAGCTACAGGATGGCTTCCTCATCGCCCACTCGACCATCAAAGGGGATGGATATGCTTGGTGGTCCGAACCAGTCAGTCCAAAATGTGTCGAATTTTGAAAATTATGCAAAGAAAGATCATCACGATGCAATAATGCCCTGGGGGCACACAGCACCACACATGACTTGACTTCACTTGGACACTGCACAAAACAATATTCCAGAACTACCTAAGAGCCATTAAACTCACTTCACAATGCTTATTCTTGTTATATTTGGTACTCTACATTATGTAGGTTATTCAAAGAAAGTGCAGGTTCTGGTTGTAGGCTAATTTCCTGTGGGATATACTGGGATTACAGGAAGCCATGTGGCCAGTCACTGACCGCCTGAGGCGATCTGCTACCGAACATCGGCGTGACATCATTTAGGCGTGCATATTTTCCAAGTGTGTGATCATGGAAAAAAACAATATGGAACGGAAAAGGCATTTGTATATAAATGTGAATACTGAGATAGATGTAGGTAAATAGTAACACTTTACATGTGATATAGTAATGGGCAAGCTCATGATCTGCTTACTCGCCTGCCTTGTTGACTATGATGCATCAGTACAATGCTACCTCAAGAGGCCGCCGTAAGTTCTCCACCAGTACTGCCAAGTTTTCTTTCTACAAATATGACATCCCCCATATAGTTTATATTGGAGAGTCCCTCCCCGTTCGACCATAGCAACCCCTCCCCCCATCAATGTCAGACTTGTTGGTGTCTAGGCCACCCTGCCAAACACTGCTACTCCACAGTTCGATTCCTTTTATGTCCCCAATCAGGCCATCATCGATTAAACTGCTTTGCACACTCACATATGTGTCAGTTGTGATGGTTCCCTTAATGAAGCTGCCCATCCTACAAGTTTGAGTTTGAGGTGATAAGAAGCACACAAAGTAGGTATATCTTATTCCCTACTCCAATGTCATTATTCAACCCACCCACCCTTTCCATCCCTCTCAAGATGTTGCTAAATCCTCAGCAGAATCCCTTCGTTTTTTCTACTTACCCTCTCCCGGTCAAATTTATTGAACACTCGAAATCCAAACACCCTAATCTCTACCATTATTCTAAATATAGACATCAATCTCAACTTTCCCGGTGTCTAACCGCATCCTCTCCTATGTCGGCCTCTTCCTCTGCCCCTCAAACGTTTTTCTCCTCTTTTCAGAACTCCCCAACCAACTCCACTTCAGAAACTCTACCCCTCCCAACCCATGCTCGTTGTTATCCTGGGGGGCATAGAAGACAAGGACTGGGGCCCAAGGTAGGGGATCACCCCTATCTTGGACCTCAACCCTCGCATCAACTAATTTTGCATGGTCTTAATTTCTTCCCCTTTCCCTTTCCTTCTCTTCTTCAGCCCCTTCTGTCCACTCCCTAAGGTGTGAGAGCCATGTTGAAAGGATGAAAGGACTTCGTGTCAGTCTTTCAGAATACACCCCTTCCTCTCTCCTAACATCCACTGTAAGAGATATTAACATTCCTATTACTTTGTATGTAATAACCAAAGGTAAATTTTTAGTTCAAAAGGAAGTAATTATTGAGTTAACCCTTTATAGCATTCCCCACTCATGAAGCCCACTGTAATAATAGTCGGTCATAACAAGGAGCTTCTAAGGCAGATTAGAAGTAATCATTTGTAAATATTTGTATAATCAAGTAATGCCATGTATTATTTTATAACTGAAAATGGAAATGTATATGTAAGGATTGTTTAAGCACGAAGAAAGCAAGATTTTATGTTTTAGGTCTCATAAGGCGTCTTCTGTACGCGTCATAAAAGTTAAATGCGGATTAAAGTTTTATCCAAATCCACTGTACTTGCAGACGCACAAGTCCACGGATTATCAGTAAATCTGCTCTTTTACTTAGAAAAGCGGGTATTTTGTGTACTGGCATATAGCAGCCACTCTCTTTGAGTTTTATATCACAGTAATGTTGATAAGGAGACGTTTGAATGAAAGATATTTTATTTAATGTGTAAGATACCAGTCCGGGCAATTTTTAGAATAGCACATGTTCATGTTTAACATTTTGTACAACATCCAGTAGTTAAAGTTTCAATGGTTTTTCGGTCGTTTTTGACTTCATATAGTCTTGTTGGCCTGGTATCCTACACATTAAATACAAGACCTTTCATTCATTCATTGAGTGCATGGATATATTAATAGAAGTAGATATATTTAATTCGTTCAATCTGAGTAGAAAATACAAGCTTGAATCTCACTGCGGGCAATTCCACTTGAGAATCATGCATAAACATAATCGCCCACTCTTCTCATCCACAGGGCTATTTTGATGATTGTTCAATGAGAATATAACCATTTAAATCACTATTTTCCATCCTTTTTGAAAATCGAAAAGACCGAAATGATCGACCATATTCCCAAAGCATCGTGGCGTGAAAATGACGTCATCAAAATAAACAGACGTCACGACACCTCCTGTAGTTGCCTTTCCCATTTGTAAACTCTGGAATTCTCTGTGGGATTTTTTTTTTTTTTTTTTTTTTTTTTTTTTTGAGTTGCAGGTTGAGTATCCCACTACTTATAAAAATATATGATGATGGATTTTCATATACATCTGTAACATGAAAATGTCAGAATTTGTTTTATTATTGCCTATAATAAATATTGATGGCAACTCAACTCCATCTTTTCTATTGAGTTGATGACGTCATTACATATCAATACATGATTGATGGAATTAACTAGATCGTTCTGCACATGTGCTGGATTTAATTTTGAACTTAAAAGTTAATGCAGGATCGGAGGTGCATTAAAAGTTGATCCCGGATGCTGTCGTTGCTCATGCGCATTAGAGATATGGATTAAAATTTAATATTGGGTTAACTCTTAT